CTTGCTTTCAGGGACACCTCTCCTCTGCTAGTAAGTTCATGAAAATGTTCCTTTTCTCCTTTGACTTAAAAATATAATTATCCCAGTTCCAGCTCAAGATGAAAGATGGGAAGATTTACTCTCTACTTTCTTTCTTTAAACCTGAGAAGGCAACAGTTTCACCTGTTAAGGCCGCCGGACAGGGGCACAGCTACTCTGGGCATCTCCACAGGACACCAAACCTGGGGCCCAAGACCCATGCTGGGACAGTGGCTCCCATGTAAGAAGGAATAAAATATATAAACCCACTCAGCTTTTAATCATACTTCACACAAATGGTTCTTCTTCTTTTGGCAGAAAATGATTTTTTTTTACTTTGTCATTAGTTTTAGTGAATTATTATAATACATGACTGCATACAGGGTTTCTCATTGAAAATCATTTTTTTCAAATCCCTTCTTTATAACTTCTCCAAAAATTAATAAAAGTTAATTTTAAAAAGTGTACCACTTTCTGAGGTATACTTTTTAAAATTAACATACACTTCAAAATGAAAACGAAAAGCAGAAAGTAGTATCAAATACTTGAGTAGTCCTAACTTCACAAAGGTTAGACATGTTTAAATCAATATGACTCTTTTATTGCCAAGATAACACCAAGGTAACTGTGATTAAACGAATCCTAAACATTCACCTTGTGCTAAACTTCTGTTTCACAAAGAGAGATGCAGAGGAGTCACAACACAAAGGCAGATTTAAATTGAAAAGAATGCAGGCAGAAGGACAGGTTTGCCCCAGAAGTCTGTATGTAAAGTGATTCTACAGCAAGAGTTTTATAGAGACGTGTATAAACATGAACTTCCTCCGAAAACAGGCTGGCACAGAAAAGAGGCAAAGAAAAGCAAGACTGTGAAGATGTCCGGCTTGGCTCCGGAGGAAACACAAAGATCCTGTGATCTACCTTGTTTGGACGCCCTTCGCCGAATCCTCATTTTGGGGAAGGATGGCCAGGAGTAGTTGAAAGGTGAGTCTGAGTCAGAATCCATCTTTCTGTTTTGGTGCAATGAGCAGATGAATCATGAAGACTCAGGAAGAACCCGTGCCCAGCCAAGAGGCAAGTCTCCCGAGTGATGTAAAAGGAAGGAATGGGGCTGGATGAAACAGCTCCCAAACACGGGGAGGGAGAGGCAATAAATGTTTTGCTTCCTTCAGGCGTTCAGACATGCAGACCAGCAAGGAGGCTGTAAATATTAAAGCCAAACCAGGGGAGAAGGGGAGGGGGGAGAGTGGGGGAAGCTAAGAGCCTCGCTGATACACTGCAGCCCAGTTATTCGAAAGGTCATTGGGAGCAAATGAATCATTAACTCCCCTCTTCTTGTTGCTGGAAATGGAAATGAATAAGAAAGGTAACTGGGGTTGAAAGAAAGCTGTCTGTGATTCAAAGAAAAGCCTCCAATGCAGGCGCTTGTTTTGCTCCAGAGCCAGAGTATCATTTCTCAGAAAAGCCGCCCTGTGTGGTGTGAGATAAAGGTTGAGGTTTATGTGTGTGGACAGCCAGAAAGCTCGATCTGCAGGCACAGGAAGGCCAGCGGGCTCCAGGGAGAGTCCTTCTAGAGCAAACCATTCTTTCCCACCATGGCGGCTCAGGCAGCTTTTGGGATTGAAAAGCCAAAACAGCTCTGACACTTTATTTAACAGTCAGCGTCCCAGATCCTTTTAATCCTAAAGTGGTCTGCCACTTTCACTTCTATGGAGAGCTGGACTAGCCTTGTTAGATTCGTACAAAGTCATACATGACTGTTTAAGTGGGACATTTTTCTGAATTGCCACTGTTTGGCTATCAGTAATGATTTTGGTGTCTTTATAGTTCCAATCCAAACTTTCTGTCCATCTCAATAGAGCTAGTGACCAACAATTCTTGCCCAATCTCCCTGCATGCTTTCAAGTGATTAGCATTCAGTGAAGGCCAATACTCCCTTCCCATAAATCATGGCAGTGCTCAAACTTACTAAGCACCGAAATTTACTAAATCTGCAGGTATACAAATATGCATGTCCCAAATAAGAACAGGCATAGCAGCTGAAGTCTGCAAAGAAAAAATTATTCTAAATTCCACAGAAGGATCTATTAAGCATTTCTTACAGTACAAGTAACAGCAAGAAATTTTATTTTTTGTTATACTTTATGAGGCCATGTAATGTCCAAATTAACTCGAAGTCATTGGAAACAATATGAGGATTCATTTGATTATGCAGATTTGGAACATGACTGTGGGTGTCTTAATTAATATTCATTTCTTTTCTTCAGTTATTTCCCAAATTGTTGGCACTATCATGCCATGGTGTATAAAAAATAGCTGCATAGTCTGCTCAGTAGTGGCTCATCCTGTCTGATTACACAGGGGTGCCTGAGGGGCAAAGACAAGAACAGGGAGGGCAGAGGTCATTTCAGTTCAAATTCAAGTCAAAATCAGAATTACATGCATCACTCTTGTGATCTTTATATTGCTACATAATCCTATAACTAGGGCAAAATGCAACTACTACAGTGGCAACATTGCAATTAAATGAAAAGAAATTTGACTAAACTTTCTATTTTGTGGTCTTTAATTTGAGGAATAATTATAGATTTTTCTTAATCAGCTGGGTGCACTTTTGTAAGGATAAATTACTCCTGATTCTTACATCAGGCAAGAATGTTTTAATACACAAAGGCCTTTAATAAGAAAATATACAAAGCCTTATGAATTTTATACTTGGTTTCAGTTTTAGTGCTTGCATAATGCTGGGACTGTGCAGGTATGTGTTGAATTAATGAATAATTTACAGCAGTCAGTCACAGCCTTTACATAACAGCTGTAGTATTTGCAGTATATGCTCATGACAAATAGCTAGCTTGGCTAAAAAATCTACAAAAAAATTCTTAGAAAATACAGTTATGCCTCCTTCAGGCATTCACAAAAGTTTCTGTTTGCAAACAATTTGGTTCCCAAACAAAAGTGGTAAAATTTTGCTTCTGGGCTGGGGATTTAGCTCAGCAGCATAAGCACCTGCCTGGCAAGCATGAGGTCATGAGTTCAATCCCCAGTACCGCAAAAAGAAAAAAAAAATTTTTTTGCTTCTGTTCACAAACTCCGCATCAGGTGACCAACACAACTGCAGTCATCTTCCCCAAAATGTCAAACAAATGAAGTTTGTAAATCAAGGTACCAGCGTATTTTAAATACATGTGTGTGTTATTTAACACAACAATATCTATGTGTGTAATACGGCAAGCTGTGGCTGGAGAAAAACTTTTGTGCTCAGAGGCTCCTGACAGTACTTGGGGTAAGCAGAAGTCCACGGACCCCTGGCTTCTCACAAGACAGATACAGAATGGATAATCACTAAACTGAAGAATGTTGGGTCAGAATATTGTTAAGTTTCTTCATCTCTACAGCCAAAGGGTCCCTAAAATGCAGCATTTCTAAAACAGAAACACTAAATACATAATTGTGAATTGGTGGGTTTTGCAGCTTTATTTCTCTAAAGGTCTAGGGATGCTACATTTCTATACATTCCTGGTTCCATTCATTGGAAAGAGACAGACACCTTTTTGATTGAACTAAAAACAGAAGACAAGAAATGCAGTCCATGCAGGGTCCCTAATTTGTTTTACTAAGTTGGTTCAATATGTGACAAAGTAGTCAGGAGGCTCCAAAGATAGAGACAATAGGGTCCGGGACAGAATTTCTCAGAGGCCATCAGCACAGGGGTAGGATCCTGCGTGTGTGTGTGTGTGTGTGTGTGTGTGTGTGTGTGTGTGTTGGGGGTATTCATTGCAATCCACATGATGAGATTCTCACCCAAGACCTGTTGAATCAGGATCTCCGAGGATGCTCCAGGAATCTGCACAGGATTTACAAGGAACACTGCCCCCATCTGGGAGCCTTTCTCTTGCCCAGTGAAATTTTAGATTCCCACTGAATTAGAAGCTGGATAACCCTGGTCAACAAGTTTTCAGCCTGTTCCTCTCTTGATTAACCGTGATAGATCAGAAAAAATTCAGTATAGGAGAGAGACACAGAGACAGACAGAGACAAAGACAGAGACAGAGGAGACAGAGACAGAGACAGAGACAGAAACACAGAGACTGAGAGAGAAGAAAAGAACTTGGTTTAAAAAAAAGCATTTCTTCAGGTTCAGATGTCAGGTCCATTTATGTTCATCTAATTTCCCAAAGCATAGTCCTTTATGACCAACTACATATCAAATGATAGTTAATATGGAAATTATTTTGGCAATAAAACAAGAATTTCTCAACCAAGACATATAAAAATACTTCTGATATCAAGTGATTTCTCAGTATTTGCAATTGCTTTTCTATATATCGATAGTTTTAAAGAATGAAATGATTTCCACTCACCAGTCCTGCAGAGTGAACATATAAAGGTGAAATATTGTTTGTATAACCCACTTTATTTTTAGGCTATCTCATTTTCTCTCACACAAGAAACTTTTTTCCTGAATGTAGGTCATTTGTCTTTATTGTGTCTTATAATATTAAAGTGTTTTTTTTTCATTTTCTCAACATAATTGCATGCAAATTAATTCAAGATGTCATTTACATTTCATTCACATTCAGCAGACAAATTCCTTTGCTTTGTCAGACTGGCTGATTGCAATTATAACTGGAAGAATTCAAAATATATCTCCCACTTCACCTTGTCACACCAGACATCCTACAACCATTAGAGTGTAAGAGTACAAACAATTTCACAGAAAATATCTTTATCTTACTATCCATCCCTTAATTTAAAAAATTTAGAAAATCACCTCCATGAAGTTGCAATCAATCAAGAGAAGATGCTACTACCTTAAAGTTTCAGCTTTCTTCATCCACTTTAGGTAAGTGATACCACTTGCCTCGAGAAAATTAAAATTAAATCTCTTCAAAGGAATATTGATATCTAGAGTGGAGTTAGAGTATTTGTGGGGTTTTCATTATATTCCAATGGAACCCCAAATTCCTTGAGGCCAAGAACTGTGTCTTACTCATAGTTTTGAGAAACCACATGCTATTTGTCTTGGTTAATTGCGATATATCAAGAGTAAGAGCTGCCTCGAAAATTAGTATGCATGATTTGGGGTGTGTCTGCGAGTGACTGGCATATAGGCCAGCAAAGTAAAGAAAGAGACCCACCCTAGACTTGCACAGAATAGGAAGGGAAAAAAGTGTTCCCATTTTGAAAAAGCTATGGCTTTCACAGCACCTTTACACATTGGTCTTGTTTCTTCAGAGTGCAGATTTGTACCAGCAACTCTAGAGTGAGCTCCCAGCCCTTCAGTCACTGACATTCCTGGATCCTCTGCCTGGCCAGTGTGCAGCCAGCCGTCATGGAATCTTTTACCTCTAATCCCGTAAGTGTGTCTAACAAATCCCCTTTCATAATTGTACAGATATTTTCTATTGATGCTGCTCCTCTAGAGAACCTTTGCTAATACACAATTTTTTTTCAAATCCTGGGTTCTGGTAAGCTATATAAAGCAACTCTGTCATTTATTTACTTCAAAGCCCTTAGCAAGTCGCTCTTCTTTCTGAGCCTTAGTTTTCCCATATAAAACGAGATTATGAGCAGAATTGAGGATGCAGAAACAACACCCAGCACATTCAACTATTTGATCTTTGATGAAAGCATACATTGGAGGAAAGACAGCCTCTTTCATAAATTGTGTTGGGAAAACTGGCTATCTGCATGCAGAAGATTGAGTCTAGACCCCTGTATCTCACAATCAAAGTGGATTGAACATCTGAATGTTAAAGCAGAAATACCTAATCTGCTCAAAGATACAACAGGTAAAACTCTTAAGTATACAAGCATAGGCAGAATTTCTGAACAGCACTCTAATGGTACAAGAAATAGTATCAAGAATAAATAAATGGAACAGTATTAAATTAAAAGTTCTCTACATGGCAAAGAAAATAACCTACACAATGAAGAGACAACCTACAGAATACGGAAAAATTTTTCACTAGCTAGTCTTTAGACAGAGAACTAATAAGTAGAATGAATATATAAGAACTCAAAAAAATTAGAGCCCTCAAAAGAAAAAATGGGCCACTAAATGAACAGACATTTCTCAAAAGAAGTACAAATGGCCAATAAGCACATAAGAAAAACATTCAACATCACTGGACATTAGAGAAAAGTATACTAAAACAACACTGAGATTCTATCTCATTCAGAAAGGATTGTTATCATTAAGAAATCAAATAATAACAAACACTAGGAAGGCTGCAGGGAAAAAGGAACCTTTGTACATTGTTGGGAATGTAAACTAGTACAAATACTATGGAAATCAGGATAGGGATTCCTGAAAAAGCTGAAACTAGAAATTCCATTTGACCCAGCTATTTCCCTTGTAGCTATTATCCCCAAAGAGTTAAAGACCTCGTATTACAGTGATACATGCATATCCATGTTCATAGCAGCACAATTCATAATAATTAAATTTTGAAAGTGGCCTCTATGTCCATGAATAGATGAATAAAGAAAATATAATATTTTTACACAGTGGATTATACTTTACTCTGCCATAAAAAGGACAAATTTGAGTAATCTCCAGGAAAATAAATGTATTGTAAGACTGTGATGTTATGTGAAATAACTCAGACACACAAACTTAAATGGAACTTGGTTTCTCTTCTTTGAGAAATTCAAACTATAAATAAAAAGCAAAATAAAAGCTAGATAACAGAAAGTAAGGCGATAGATTCTGTTCAAATGGGCAGGCCTGGAGAAGGTGGAGAGAGGGGAGATGGTAGGGAAGGGGACGAAAAGAAGAGCTGAGGTTATGCAGTGTACATGCACCACCCCCCACAAGGAATGTAATCACTGTGCAATACAAGAATGTACTAATAAAAACTAAAAACTAACAGAAAAACATGAAACGCGATCCTAGTATCTCTACATCAGAGGATTACTGTAAGGATCGAAAGAGATTACAATAGCAGGGAACTTAAATTTTCAACCAATTCAAATAGCAAGTATAAATAAAGTTTCCTTTTATTGTTTCCTTTCATTATCTTTTTTCAAAACTGCAAGATGGTAATGTGCAAGAAACTCCTTAAAAAATCATACCAAGAGAAAGAAAAGAAAAGAAGGAGGAGGAGGAAGCAGCGGAGCCTCCCCTGCCCTGGAGGGACAGACTGTGGACGTGAGGGACCCTGGATAGCCAAGGATGTGAGCCCTGAGTCTATACAGAGAAACAATTGAGGGGCAGGAAAATATCTCGTTCTAGCCTAAGGAGAAAGTAATTCCTCACGGTAGGAAGAATTCAGGGGTGTAGGGAAAGTAACCTCTAAAATTACATTTTAGGTGTTACTCAATTGTGCTCCAACTCCAATTTTCCTAAACCAAGTTTCTTACATACTTATTCCCCAACACTTTTATCACTTAAAAATTCAAAGTTCATGTTTCATAGACTTTTATGTGGTTTTATAAATGCAAATGAGTTAATTATAATGTATCAAGTGAGCAAAATATTTAAATAATTAACTTTAACACTAACTAAACTATTAATATATTTCTGAAGCTAAGATTTCCATAAAATGTGATGGATAACTCTGATTTTTTTAAAAAGAGGAGGCTTATTTTGTACATGCCACTGGAATTTTTTTAAGGCAGTTTCAACTGACAGCAACAAAATATATGAGTGTATATAACCTATGTGTATATGCATATCAACAAATACTTATACAGTGTGAGACCATGTGCATAAGTGTGTGCTGATATGTACAAATCTGATCTACTCCTGAAACAAAGGAAAACGTGAATGAACGAGGGTTCATAGCTTTCAGTAACTTATTTTATCACCAATTTTGGCAGGCACATGCCTAAGCAGTACCACTTCATTGGCTCTGTTAAAGCTAGCTCTGATGTGTGGTTTAGGATGCTAACAATTGCTTAAACTGTTTTTCAGACACTTAGAACTCAACTGATTGAAACCACCCACTCACTGCTTAGGCTTGCACAAGGGTCTATTGGGTGATCATTTAACATCTAACGGCTGAAAGATCCATGCCCAGAGCATGCAACGCTGCCATTTTCTGAGCAAGTGTCCCATGAAAACACCATGTCCTAGCTCTCATGCTCAGACCATTAGTTTACCTCCAGTCGCCTTTCCCCATACCTCGGACCACCATATTTTGTTTTGTTTTTTTAATCCCATAAGTACCTCAAAATCCTATCTCCTGTGAGGTAAGTTTGAGCATCAGGGCTTCCACATCCTCAGTTTTGGTCAACTCATAAATAAATTATTTGTCTTGCAAAACTTGTCACTTCAGGGATTGGCATGCTGCCCACTAGGCAAATAGACCCCACTTGGTAACATGATTACATCCTACCCTCCTTTTTTTGCTTATCTTTAATCCCTCACTCCAGCAGTGAGAAACCTGGCACCAACTATTTATTTATTTGTCCAATTCCAGGATACCTGTGCAGTGGTACCAACATTGTTAGTCTCCATTCCTGTGGGAAAAACTTTTACAATCAGAGCACAGTACTTCTGTATAAATTATGATGACTTTCCTCTTGGAAACTTCCTTCATTTTCAAAGTTATTTAAGTCTGCGCCTCCTCCCCCAAATAACCCACATTCGATACATTTGTTTCACATATTTATAATGCAGTTAAATTATTTTGTCATACCTGCATTCCATCTAGTGACTTCCCTGCCTCAATTTTTAAAAGCTGCACACATGAAAGTTTCCTCTCTGTGCTGTAAAGTTCTATGCGTTCTGACAAATGCGTGTTGTCATGGACCCTCAATTAATGAGTCATAAAGAATATTTTCACTACATTAAAATGTGTACACAATATATGCACGTAACAATGAGGATACTTAAAAAGAAGACACAAGCCAACTAGGAGTTTTCAAGTACTAAAGCCGAAACACTTTCACAACAAATAAAGTACTATTAGATTATTACTCAAAGTGGAAAATAAATATCTATGCTTCCACACAAATATAAACAATTAAGTGAACAAGTAATGTGTGTGGCGGAATTGAGGAGATGACTCTCCTATGTAAGAGATTTCCAAACAATTTATGAAGCCACTCACAGGGAACTATGACCCCCTTAAGTGTGAGCTGCACATCTTGACTTCCTTGCAAATAGCACAATATGGAAAGGAGAGTGATGCAGAGTGACTTTACAGCGGGGTAAAGGACATGCTCTGCCATGGCCAGGTGACAGGTGTTGATTCAACAGGGATGAGCAGTGCTGACAGTACCAGCTCTTGAGATGGCGGGATAATGGTGACACTTTCCCTGTCTGGTCTTCTCGCCAAAACCCATAACCTTAGTGTGATGGTGGTGGGGTATCTGAAAAGTCCCCCAAAGGGATGTCCTAACAAGTACTTGGTAAAACTGTCAAGTTCATCAAAAACAAGTGTGAGAAACTCTCACAGCCAGAAACATCTAAGAAAATACGATAACTAAATATAATATAGTGTCTGAGGTCAGAAATGAAAATTGGTTTAAAAATAAGGAAATTTAAATAAATCTAAAGCTTTCCTTAAGAAAAAAATAAAGTTTTTTAAAGGTAAAGAAGCCAGGTTTTGTGGCCCATGACTGTATTCCTAGCACTCTGGTAGGCTGAGGTAAGAGGATCACAAGTTTGAGTTCACCCTAGACAACTTAGCAAAATTAAAAAAAGAAAAAGGGCTGGAGATATAGTCAGTGCAAAGGACCTGAGTTCAACGTCCAGTACCGAAAAAAAAAAATTAAACAATAGAACAAAATTTATGTTCATTAAATATGAATTTACAGTTAAGTGAATGTCTGCATACCTTATTCAAATATATAGAACACAGTCACAGTGGACCAATATACTATCTTTCCTTTTGCTTAAATTCTTACTATGTGAGGTGACCATGTAACTCTGAGTGAACTATTTAGGCATTAATATATTATATGCTGAAAATAATTCTAGTTCATCAGAAAAAAAAAAGTAGTACTATCTCTTTTCTTGTTAATATGGCCCTAAGAGTCAGCCCCAATAAGAAACTCCCATTTGACATCCGCAGGGTAGGTGAATTCTAAATGCATCAGATCACCTGAAATCCTACTGGCTGACAAATTACAAAAACCTGGATGAACCCTCCTGGCTCACTCCAGGTTTTCTTCCTGAATCCTACAAGCCTTCGCTTCCCTCTTGATTCTGATTTTGTGTTATTTTATTGGGCTGCTGCTGGCAGCGCTTCTCCCTATACTTCAGCTCCACACCTTCTTCAGCAAAGTCTCCCAACAGGAAGCACAAATCCTGCTGGCTTCCTGCCCGTACCTGAATCAAAGGATCGTGATTGATAAAAGTCACAGCCAATTGTCCTGATAAACTGTTAGAGCTTATGCTGCCTG